GAAAAGTTTGGAAAGTTTGGGGCTTCATCTCAACCTCCTGATCTTCAAAGGCCACAGGATAGCGTTTGGTGATGCTACAAATAGGGCAAGGCCAATGTTTTTAGTGCTGAGTTGCAAATGGGCCACAGGCTGCAGGATGCCCACCCCTAAATTACAATTAATGTATTGTGTGAACTGAGTAAATGTTTATTGAATTAACTGTGCTTACACAAATCATGGATTAGCACTGTGGTGCTGATCTTATAATCAGCACCATTCACTTTGTTAAAAAATTGCTAAACTAATTAAGTGTAGATATATATAACAGTCATAACAAAAATATAATTTAATAAATAATAATAAATAGGGAAAGATTTTGGGAAATTATTAATAGAACAACTCTAATATTTAACCATACTGCCTGAGAGTTTTCTTCTTTGCCCCTTTGTAAAAAAAACTCATTCAAACATTGACAAACAACAGATACCAACAATTCATTGCTGAAATAAGGTATAGACACCTCCCTTCTAGCATCGTATGATCATTTTTAGCCAGCCCTCAGTCCTGAAAAAAACCACAATTCTTGGTATATTAATTGATTCTAAATACAGAGATATCTAAAAGAACATGTGCATTATTAACACAGTAATCAATCCACACTCATAGTAACAATCCTGTTGATCTCAGCCCCAAATGTGACAATAGGACAAGACCAAACCATATATGTTAATGTTCTGATCCTGAGTTGCCTCTCCAATTGCAATTAAAATTAACCCTCATTAAACATTCTCTGAAGTGTCCAATATAAGCCTAATTTTAAGATCATCAGAAACATTCTGATCTTAAAATGAGATGAACACCTTCAGTGTTTAATCCACTGAAAGACTGGCTCTTCCTCTACTCCATCTTAAGATTCTGACCAAACAACTTCCATTAATATACTAGGACAGGATATTCAAACCTGTTATTTCAGAGGTGACATGTATGACTAATATAAATGTTATCTGTTTCTGTAAAAAAAAAGAGGTTGGAGCCAAGCCACAATTAATTCCTCCAAAACCCCTATCACTTTGAAACTTCAGATGCAGCAGTAGCATCTGGACTAACTAAACAAATAACTTAAGTTGAATCAACTGCCAAAAAGCACTTGGAGGTAAATTAAACTCATTTTTAACGCTGCAGAAAGTTTAAAAAATAGCTTCATCAGAACAGAGTTGATCCAGAGTTGCAATATATGAGAGGTGCAATTTTGATGTTAGTTTTAAGCTCAGATTACCCCCATATTCTATCACCACTATTTTCCATATATGTCTTGAAGCATTAAGTACAGATAATCACCATCGTTCCTAAAGAGTAACTTCCATTTGCTATCCCTTACTTCCCCTCCTGCTGCAGATATAGCGGTAAACTAAAAGGGGTCTTTTTTTTTTTAGGATGATTAAAGCTTGGAAGGAAAAATAGTGATCTCAAAAAATCCAGGGAGAATCTTGTGTGGGCTGATGAAGTGGGTGGAATCTGGAGTGCAGTTAACCACGGTGGGCAGCTGGGTTGCCAGCTGCTACAAAACTTTATTTTTAATACATCGTATAAAACTCCCTTTTTCTGAGTCAGGCCCATGTAATCCTAGATTGTTTGATCTGACTGGCAAGGTTCTAAGCAAATCTGATCTGGTTACTTGAAGACTGAACCCAAATCTTCTGCGTCAAAAGCACGAGCTTGTGATGTTCACCAAGTATTCCTACTCTAAACACAGACATCTTTCTGTTCTTAGAACATGGTCAGTCTTCAAGTACAAATAATCCTGTCCCAGATCAAATAGCCAGGTTTTATTAGTTTCTTTAACCATTTCTACCTCTCGCAAATGAACAGTGATAGCAACAGGTAAGTGGTACAGTAGACTTACTGGTCCACTGCGTACAAAGATGGTCTTGGTGAGAAATTCCCTTTTAAAACAAAGCGGCCCTTAAAATAAAAGGGGGGGGGGTTCTTAGGAAAAGGACAAAACATAATAATATTGTGGAGACACCAAAGACACATACGGAATTCCAATTCAGTTATATTAAGTTAGTGACATTTAATACTTAGGGCCTTAGGCTTCAGAGCAGATGGAGAGAATTGTCTGAGAGAAAGCACCTGGCCTCCTGGTTCGATGAGGTTTTCTTGTGGAGGGAAACAGCCCTATTTTTACAGAACTCTGATGGAGAAACAGTATTTAGTGGAAATTAGCTGTTTTTGTGTACAGGAGGGCATTACTGTATGCTTTTCCCCCCCAGCTTTTTGATCAGCAAGTTAATAGCTGAACCTATACTCTTAATGGAACCTTCAGCTGACTGCTAATCAAATGGGATCAGTCATTGCAAAGAAGAGCTTGGATACATCTTGAAGAAAAGCATGGGAAGTGACACCAAAATCAGTACAACAATTGATAAAAGATGTGGTCTGTTATTCAGGGTTTCTAATATAAAACCGACTTACCAAATACTCTAGGGCATGTTCCTCAACCTTGGCAGCTTGAAGATGTGTGGACTTCAACTCCCAGAATTCCCCAGCCAGCCAG